AACAGGCAACTACTGCTAGCTGGACCTGCGGCGGTCACTCCCCAGATCACGCGCCACAAACACTCAAACCACGTGACATCCCTGGCCCACTGACAACCTTAGCCGACATGTACACTTCCCATCCACTTTTGTTCACGCGGTTACCACCTGCGTCACATGCCAGGCTGGCGAACTTCAACTACAGCAGGTCAAGTTGTATTCATGTTAATGAGAGCATCAAACATTAAGGAACACCCCTCTCTTCACACTGGACACAATAAATACTCATATGACTCGGCCCAACAGACACACACACGCACTGGCCAGGGAGCCAACCGAACTCCACAAACCTCCACGGTTAACTACAGAACACGTGCAGCAGCTATGCTGCAATGCGTTCGGAGCTTCACCCAGGAAATTTCAACATTTGTCCTCAAGAGATAAGTCACGCTCTGGCTTATTCCACTTTTCGCATTGTATCTATTTTCATCAAGTGCACCTAAGTATTGTTTTCAGATCATTCTGTTAAAAGAAGACATTTGTTAGTGCTTTTCACCTGACAGTCAACCTAATTATCTTACAACTAGAGCTCTAACAGACCTAGAACCCACGCGATGTACGAGTTGCCTAAACAGATATGCCGTTGCCGGACGCCCAAGAGCTAATATACCTCAATTTCTTAGGCAATAACCCGCTCTTTTACATAAAAAATGGATGAAAATTATTTTTTCTTTCACTTTCGCCCGAATGTGGCACATACTTAAACCCGCTTCTGAACGGGTGTTGCCGTTCCTTGTTTACTTTTGCAGTGTCAGGTCAATTAATAGGAATGGACCAGCTTTAGGTAGCCGAGACCTATAAATCCTCCTGGTACAGTCTACCATCGTGGCATTTTTGTGCTTTGACGGGTACCTGTGAGGTCGTACGTTTCTGGCCATCGCCCCTTTCTATACATCCCAGCGTACGAGCGACGCTTCTGCGGATTTCCAACAACCATTCTTTCATATCCGTACACTTACGAATAACTTTTGTTCCTGTTGTTTTATGGGTGAACGTTGTCTCCCACTAGTTTAGAAGGTGAGTTCTGTAGTCACAACCGAACAGAAGATAGACTTGCGTAGATGGAAGTTAAGCGTTTTGTCCACTATAACGACACTGCAGCATGGTGGATCAATTCTTACCTTATATGTATTCCAAACAGCAACAAAGCCTTATGCATATATGTGAATATTGCACCCTCTCCCGGACAGGTTTAAAAGCACACTTACTGGTTACAGGGGAATGTTTGTAGCCTTACGATGGGTGTAAGTCAGACTCAAACGTACCCTATAGGAAGATGTTTCGTTGCGGTGGAGAGTTTCATGTCCATATCACGGACAGCGTCTTTCTTATGCGGATGGGCGCGGCGCAGCGGAAGAAGTGCGCGGCTGCTTTATTATTGTTTTAGGTACCAGCGCGTTTGACTTAAGGATCGTGTTCAAACCTGGGACCTTAATGTGGAATAAAAATTCGGAATGCTGAAGCATATTCAGAGCTGATTCACCAAATAATTCGTCCAATTCCAAGAGATTTTTTAAAGTGATAGGCTCAAAGATATGAGCCTATTATCTTTCGAGGGAGGAGCTGGCAGTGACTGTATAGAGGGGTTCAACATCCCAGGGTGTTTTAACGATACTGAAAGATTGAACCTTCCATACTTGAGATTTTCAGCGGTATAAATGATGGGATGAGAATGAAGAAACACTTATTTCACGTGGTTAAATACTTACATTTTGACTGGGAAATAAGGGAACAGTATGTACAAATATTACGCAAAGTATGCCAGGGGAATATTGGTTGAAACCAGGGTACAGATGACGGAAACGCGGTCCTCAGACGCCCTACATACGTTGGTATCGATCTGAGGCGAATCGGGATCTTCCATATGCGATTTCGTCCCGTCACTCAGGCTGATGTATGCTGGAAAGCTGTGAAGCAGTGCATAGATGTTGCATCCTCATTTGGAATCGTCCACAAAGCATTTCTCGATAGACGCAGTGATTTTCCTACCGATGACCTTCAGATAAGTAGCTGAACCGTTCCGTAAGGTGGCAACATCTATTTGAATGGTAAAACTCTACGGTATTTTTCTTCACATCAGTTTGTGCATCCACCTGCAATGCTGAAATCATCCCTAGGGGGAACGTATTTCCAAGTTCAGTTTCTCAACTCAAAAAACCTTCGCCTAAACTCAACGGCTTCATCTGCTACAGTCTGGTTCACAGAGGACAAGAAGAGGAAAACGAGAGCCACGCGTCGGAGGCGATCACCCAGTTGTTGCATTGATGATAAATGGATCTGTCTGTCCAGCAAGGTGAGAAATAAAAGTCACACAGTGAAGTCGATGGATTTGATGCGAGAATACCATCGGCTGCGTGATACAGTCATATGTCAGCGACACTAACCATTCGTTTGTCTCGTCCCGCAGTCCCGATCCAGGGAGAAGGCAATTACCTACGCGACTGATAAGAGCCTTCATCCTTCGTTGTCAAGTCAGGGCCTGATCATCTCCCTCGGACACAAGACCTGCTCTACGAGGCAGACGGCCTCTGGCATGTGAAATATGACCTAATCAGTGTAACCTGTGAGGCGAGTCCAACCGGTTTACCGAGGGAGAATGAACATTCTCGGAAACCGCCTCGGATTCACTGTTTCTAAGATGTGGATATTTGCTGCCAAACGACAATAAACGCCTGTAGTTTCAAATAATAAAGGCTTGACTCAGAGGAGTTTTTGCACGATATCCTGTATGTGGGCGCAGGTTGCTACTTTCATAAAAGGATGATTTGCGGCCGAACCAGTACAATGACTTTCTTCGTCACGGGCCACCAGATGAACTGGAATGCAGATGCATCTGTCCCTCAATGATTGTTGTTTTACCAGCGGAGAGGAAAGGTTCTCTCAGACGGAGGCCCAAGAAGCTATCAGTTTTCCCATCTTTATCATTTACGGTAGCTTAGAGTAATGCATTATGAAGTTGATAAATGACCAACAACATAGTTGGGAAATGCGCTCCTTGTGGAGAGTAACATATGCCCACTATCTTTTCCAGATATTTGTAATCCACTTTGTGACCTACCAGTACTTCACTGATCGATTTTACGTTCGCCTCAATATGATACTGTGATGAAAATTATTGCATCGTCTACTTCCCGTCTCGTTTTTTCGGCCTCATCAGGTAGACAGGACTGGGACAAAACCTCGATCTGAAAATGATTGCTTACCTCTACTAACCTCATATTGCATGAGGTTATAACTGTCTTAGGCACTTTGGAGAGCTTGCTTCTCAGGCGGGAAGCCAACGTGAATCGTGAACACCATGTCAAGAGACTACTCCGGGCTGTCGGATGGTAACGCAAGCAGTTCGTTCGTTCGGGAACACTGAACTGAGTACACAAGAGGGTGTGGGCGCGGAGTGACTTTCGGGCATACAATGCCAGTTTGCTTAATTCTATACTACTCATTAGTAGCTCCGAACGGAGAACCGGGTAAACGGGACATGGACCGTGGACCGATTGATCTTAATACTGTGCTGGGAAAATCGGGAAATGGTGGCGGCGCTATACACAACTAAATACTCACCTCAAAAAATCATCCATCCTCGGAACCATGTAGAATCATCGCATCTCTCATGAACGCCATGAGTATTTGGCCATGCAGTTAGAAAATATTTCTACACAGCGCCGACCGATGTGAATAGATATGTGGAGCTTAACCACAATGGAACGAGAAGTGCAAATGACGTTTTGGGCTAACGCCTAAGCTAACGACGGTTGAGGATGTCTTGGGTAGCGTCTACAGTCGGTGGGATAACTGGTCGACGAATGAGTGGAAACCGCCAAGTGCAGTTGGCCTGAGACACCGTTGTTGCCTCTAGCGCCGACTCACCGTCACCTTCTTGTTTATTCTATTCCGGCCCCTTGTTTTCCGTGATGCCCATCTGGGTTTTACTGATGCAACCCAAGGTTCCACGGTGCTGATGGTATGATAATTAAAATAGTTGAGTACGCGTTTTCTAGCACCAAACCTCGTTTCCTTTCAACAGAGAAAAAGTTAACACATTTCGACCAGGGCAAAAAAGGCCATGCTCCTCTTGAGGTCACGTTTACTTTCGCAATGCAAATAACTTAGGGACGGGGGAAATCTCTCTTGTATCGAAAAAATAATCGTTCAGCCGTAATTCCCTTTTAGTGCCGAAGGAAACCATCGTTCAGCCGTAATTCCCTTTTAGTGCCACGCTAACTGAAGGAAACACGGGGCTGTTCGGTTGTCCAAGCATGGACAGGAGCAGTCATAATGCCGGGGGTAGGTTCGAACCCCAGACCTTCCAGTAAGTGCATGCCTTGACAAGTGAAATATCGCAAGCTCCCATTATGTAAAACATGCTCGCACTGAGTACAAACTGCTGTATAAGGGGCAGCGGAAGAGAATCCGCAACTTGAGACACATGGGTTCTCATCGTGGATGTCCTCTATTGAGCGGATTTCACTGCAGCGAGAGCAAAGGCGATAAGAACACTTTAAAATGCGAAACCGATATTCAGCCGACTAATAAATCTGCGTATCGTGCTGGAAAGCAAAAAACGGAAGTTGGATACGTATGCGGATTCGATAGTTACATTTAGCGCTCGATCAATCACAAAAGAGACTTGTTCTGAATGGCAACCTCGTCAACGATCTAGGGCAGTCTAGGTTCAAATAAAACAAAAGAGAACGTGTACGAGGCCAAGCGGTATGCATTTCGGTTATCCGTTAAAAAGTTTAACAAACTCTATCACATATTCTGCTCATTATTTACAAGACGACACATGACAGCACACAATGCACAATCATATAACCGAAATAATGGTGTGTGTGTGTGTGGGTGGACAGAGTGGGATGGAAACTCTAGGTCACGTGGGCGTATGTGCTGTATTCTGTACACTTACAGTGGGCGTGTGTGGGAGGCACATGCGCATGCACGTGACCGATCAACCCGATTGATCATTGCCTAGGTTGATACCATGTGTACTGAGACTGCGTGCTGGTGAAAGAGCTGCGGTTTCGATCACTGACGTCAGAGTTCAAGTCGAGGACGGTCTGTGATGCAGTACCTGTTTGAATGCTTGCATCGGTGGTTACGGAGCTGGCGGTGGTGGCTATCGTCGCGGAGTTGGCGTTGGTCAGTTCAGACAGTAGGGAGAAAATATACGTCAGCACTTTTGATGCATTCTCAGATGGATCGATAGGACCCAGAATATGTTGCATTCCTTCCAAAATTACCGGATTATTCTTCAATGCGTCTACAATGGATTCCTTCACGTGTTCAACGCCAGAGTCCGCTAGGTCAGCCAAAAGAGTACGAAGCTGTATCTCAAGGTCATTGTCGTCTGTCTGCATAGGACCAGCATTGTCGGGGAAGTGATTCAGGTGACCCGAAGTGGAGGGATTGCGTTTAGCCACAGAGGTAGGATCAACAGGTTGAATCGATTTCGCCATCTGCCTGGCGGCCGTGCTACCAGTCGTGTGACTTATGGAACCGGAATACGCATCTTTGACGGCAGGACCATTCGACTGCCGAGTTATGGAATGTTGGTGTTCTTTACTAAGATGTGCAGCAGTCATATTTGCTGACGCTGACGCAACGGCTGAGATGAGAACGTGATAAATGGAATAGATGAACCTACCAGGCTTGGTCATATTACCATCTGATCCTGTTTTCTGTGCTTTCAGTTCCATCTCTTGTCGCAACATGCGGCGACGCTTTTTACTCCACATTTCGTGACAATCCTGGTCTACAGGCAACCTGAAAGACAGCAATTCATTTCAAAGGGAAAGAAAAAAAGACTAACTTTGGAGGAGCGATACGCAGAGGATCGATCTTTTTGAGCCACGGAGAATCCAACGCTTGCCGCGCACTACATCGTCGGCGCGGGTCCAGTTGAAGCATGTAATCCAACAGGTCGAGTGCCATTGGTGGGATGCTAAAAAAGAACATACACTGGGAGACCTGTGGAACCTACACTTTATATTCCTCTCGTACACGACGACGATACATTCGTTTCGGTTTGAATGTAGCATAGAACGGTAGTTTTTCCACATTTGGCCAAATTGCGGGGTCTGGATAGCCACATACCCGTGAAATAACTTCCATCTGCTCCATCTCTTCCGCAGCTTGAAACATAGGTCGACGAGTGAACATCTCTCCAAGAATACAACTAGACGGATAGGAGACAGTAGAATAAACGGCCAACTTACCCACAGGACCAAATATCCACGGCAGGACCGTAGCGCTCTTCACCTAACAGTAATTCTGGTGGTCGATACCACAAGGTGATCACTTTATTCGTATAAGGCCTTTCCTTATCACCGGCGACGTACAGACGAGCCAAACCAAAGTCCGCCAATTTCAACTGGCCACTAAACATGGCAAGATTGATTGGTGTGTGAGAAAGAGAGAGAAAGGAATAACCTACCGGTTATTGATCAATATATTGGAACATTTGATATCTCGGTGCAAAAAATGTTTGTCGTGACAATAGTTTAGTCCGTCCAATAGCTGTTTCATCAACGATGCAATGTGCTGTTCCGTGAAAGTGACAAAACCGGACTCCAAAATTCCGTACAAATCGTGATCCATGTAATCAAATACCAGATAGAAAGCGCCTGAAAACGAGGGCACGACTGAACGACTACGAGAACATACATACCTCGATCTTTCTTGAAATCGATCGGATTGTCTTTGTCTGTGACAATCTCACAAAGATTGACAATGTTCGGGTGTCGCAACTGGCGTAAAATTTTGATTTCGCGTACGGCCGTGATGGGAAACCCTTCACGTTCATTTTCCAAACGGACCTTTTTCAATGCTTTGAATTCGCCTGAATAAAGAATGGGTGTTTGGAGATGGGAGTTGTAAACAGGGCAAACCTGTGAGTTTATCCCGAGCTTTGTAAACATGCCCGTAAGTACCCTCACCAACTTGAACGAGCGATTCAAAGGCATTGACAGAACGTTCGCCCCATGTCTTGTTGTTGCGCGATTTGGACCGGAGTTCACAGATTCTGGGACAGAGTGCGAAAAAATGAGACGAATAAGCGAGTAGAACATTTGATAGACATCGGCACCGTAGAAAACCGCGCGTCATCCGTTCTTTTTTCATTCAGCCAAGTATAACTAGTTGTATCATGTATGGAAGCGCTGAATTCAGGATAAACTGGTTCTGTACTTTGATATGAGTGGTGGGTAAGTACCTCCCACTCAGTATCGGTTACATAGCTACGTCCCGATTGTCACGTGGGATATTAACATTGCAAGACATTCAGAAACGTCTTGTTCTATTGCCGAAATGAAAAGGATGACCGAGTGAACCAATAAAAACCACAAACACATGTACCCGAGCCTAGGTCTACCAATTACGCGAACGTAAAGTTCTACGTTCGCTACTAATTTGGAAAGTCAAACGAACCTGTAATATGCGATTGATGGGATCTTGAATGGACAGGTCGATCATATGACTGGGAAGTATTCACAAAGTAGGTTTTGGAAATCCGAATAAGATGTAGACAACCATAGTTGCGCAATTAATAACATCTAAACCCTCATTTCATCGCTAGGCGATTAGGCTTTCTAGTGAAAAACGCTAATCATGATCATCATCATTGAAGACAACATCAGTGTTCAACACTAGTGCTTCACTGACGTACAACCCTGATAAGAGTGAAGTAAAGAGGCTGAAGAAAGCATTCTCAATTAAGGGATTCTCCCAGAGACCCTCCGATCTGTCGTGAAAGTGACTCCCGACTCCAAAAAAACATGTAATTTAATGCTGAAAGTTTTGTCTTAAGTGAAGCTGTGTTCTGTCGATTAGGTGATTATCACCCGTCTTATGTCACAAGCCTGAAAGCTTTCACTTGTGGCGCTGTTTTGCGGAAAGCTCAGAACACCGACAAGGACCACTGCAGTGTCTGTGGAGCAAGTGTCCCCCACATATTCTTGACCGTCCTTAAGGCGCTGTACGTCAGCTCCCGCGGACGTGTGAAGGTCTACAGGAAACCGTCACCTGAGTTCACTTCATCAAGTGGTGTTAGGCAAATCTCTCGTCTTTCACATTTCCCGTTCAACTCCGTCATTGAAATAATTATGGAAGCTTCACCATCAGCCGCTAATACCTGTGCCGTCGAAGTGCTCCCAGGGAATTCCAGTGCTTGTCTGATCTGGTGGAAGGTCTTCGAAACCCCGGTGTTCAAATAGCACCTGACGAAAACCTTGTCGATCTGGGATATGCAGACGATATCGTTATCGTCTTTGAACAGAAGGATGAACTGATCGAAGTCGTACCGTCCTTTGGTATGCACTTTGCACCCACAAAGTGCAAGGTCATGCTCATGGACATACAGTCACTGAACACACCACTTACAATCCAAAAAGAGGAGCGTTTTACACACCTTGGATGTTAGGTTAGCTGGGAGTGTAGTGTGACAGATGAGATCAATGCACGGATTTGCAAGGCTCGAGTCTCGTTTGCTCATTTGAGGCGAGAAGGCTCAGTGGTTAGAGTGCGAATGTTTGTGGTTCGAACCCAACATCTGCCTCTCGACTTCCCCTGTTTAGGCATGGGCGACCTGACAGTATCCCAGCCCTCATGCTTCCTTCTGGTGGTATGGCAGTTAAGCACCGAAAGGGTGCTACAGCTGAACGACTTTTCTAATTTGAAACACCTATGGCATCGAAGCGGTAGTGCCCTGAATCTCAAGGGACGCGTGTATCATGCTACAGCGCGGGCTCTTTTGTTGTATGGTTGTGAGACTTGGCCTGTTTGAGTAGCGAAACTGAGACGTCTTCGGGTGTTCGACGATCGTTGTCTCGGAATCACAGCTCGTGTGGGTTGATGTCGGAGAAACCGTAATGAAGTAATTAGAAAGCGATTTTTTGATTGTGAAACACACTTCCATTAAAGAATGTGTCCAGCACCAGAAACTGTGTTGGTTGGGCCATGTATTGTGAATGTCGAACAGTGCTGTTTTCTGTGCCTAATTCAGAGTGGCGACCAACCCTTGACCTGGCGTAGGGGCGTGAAAGAAATTACGAAGGGTTTGGGTGCTGTCGGTGATGCTCGTCTTCCAGGATGGGACTGCGAGATCCCCATTGCGCCCGGTTAGAGACGCTGCAAGATATAGCTGCTAACCAACATCAGTCGCGTTCTTGTTATCAGTTTCTACCTGAATTGCTTGAGTGAGTGTCTGGAGGTGTAGGTACTTCGGAATAACTATAGTAAACTAGCACTGAGTCTCTTCCCTTTCCACCTTGATTCTTTTCTTCACAATAAGGCTTTCAAAAAAATCAGGGTAATACGGCAGCGAACACTGATATCCTACTGTCGAGGACGATGACTGGCATCCAGTTTAGCCCACCTAATTTCAATAAGGAGCCCATAGTACCGTCAAACATACTGACTTTACTATCCTCCAGAATGGTGAACGACGGCGAGAAATAGGCTTTCGCGTTGACACGTCAGGGAGATCAGGCAGCTTTACACCACTTCGTGGAAACATTCACAAGCGAGCTGCATTCAAAAACTAAAGTCCGTATGCATACCGTGACCGTCCAACCTCTATCATTATACGTTAATGGGACGCAACCGATCCAAAATGTCAATTTTCGCAGGCTCGAAGTATTTGACCACTGTTGATTAAAGCGAATAATCGAAGTACTTGGGAATGACAGTACTCAGTGACGATATCGAAAGCACTGTTATGATACTCTTCGCCTTTTCGAGTTCACCCAGGAACAGAATACAGTGGTTCGGCCACGTCCTCTGCAAACCAGACTCTAGACTGCACAGGCTCTCCCTGCTCCAACTGCCTTGTTCAGAATAGCGTCCCATCGGTGTGCAATTGAAAGCTTGGCTCTCAACACTTGAAGCCAACGTTGAACCGCAGGCGGTCTGTAAATCAAGCGATGGGACAGAAACTGACTGACGCTGCTGCTGACCGTGCTCCACAGGCAACAGTGATCTAGGGGTATTTTTTGAGTTAACTTATTCCTCTCCAGCAGAATGTCACCGTAAACGAAGAAAAAACGTGGACACACCAAAGTACTTCAGCTATCCTATCTAAAACTGTTGAGACGTTTAGGACGTGTCCGAGAACGAGTTAGAAGAGAGACCAAGTTATCGAGGATAAACAACGTGTTATTTGTCTAAGAACGAGCGTGGATGAGCTGAAGTGCACATATAAAGGTACAATACGAGTATATAGTAATTGCAACAAGCAGCGAGATGGCTCAGTGGTTTGGGCGCGAATTTACTTAACGGAAGGTCCGTTGTTCGAACCCAACCTCTGCATCCCAACTTCCCCTATCTAGGCCTGGGTGTCCTGGCAATACCCCAGCCCTCGTGCTTCCTTCGGATGGCATGGCAGCCTTGCGACGAAAGGGTGTTGCAGTTGAATTATTATTATTATTATTATTATTATTATTATTAGGACAGCTGCCATCTTGATGTGCTGGTCGGACTTCAGTGCTGCAATGATCCCGCAAGCTACACTGGCTGGAACTTTGTCCCATGTTCAAAGGGGAGCAGTTAGACCAAGAACAACCAGACCCCATACTGCGAGTAATCGTGCTACGAGGCGGTTTGGGGTAAAGTTGTACTGTCCTCTGTGACAGGAGTGTGAAGATAGTAAGGTGTCTCCCCCAGGCGACCAGTATGTCCATATTCATGGAAGCTCGAGAGTTGAACTGAGCTCCAGGTTTCCTAGCAGTTAAGGCTCAAGCTTACTATCCAGAAGATCCGTGGTTCGGACCTGACCACTGCATTTGACCGTTCCTGTCTGGGTTTGGGCAATCTGGTAGTATCCCGGTCCTGATGCGTTCTTCGAGTGGTATGGCAGCTAGGCACCGAAACGGTGCTATAGCTGAGCCATAATTATTATTTGTTACTATTCATGCAAGCAGCGATACTGTCTTCCCCCGATAGAGGACGGGTCAGAAAAGGTCGGCCAGAAAAAAAACCGCACACTCCGATCGCCCAACTATTGACTGCGATCGCCGGCTTATTATTCAGTACGGTCGATTTATCTTTATAACTAATCAGCCTAGTGCTGTTATCTTACACCTACTGTCGCAGCCGCATCACAAGTGAGGCGGTAATGCCTTACTTCCTGCGCTATTGGGTTAGGTCAACCAGCTGTAGCGGGTCTAGCAAGTTAGACTACTGAGTTGTCTGCTGCGCAGGGTCCAAAAAGAAAACCCTACTAACCGCTGCCTCTCGAGTCAGGCTACAGGCAGGGTCCTCGAGCAAAACCTTACATCCTCCCACTACCTTGTGGGTCAGACTTTTGAACCAAAGGCTCAATGTGGGGTATCTGAACCAAACCCCCTTTCTCAGCCTGGGCAACCGAGAAGCATCATTTGCCTGCACCGTTCTTTGTCCACCGAAGTCCTTCCCCAACCCCTTCCATCCACACAAGCAAACGTTGTTGGGTCATTTGATTGCCAATTATCTGACCACAGTGCCTTATAAACCCCGCTACCTTTTAACGATAAACAATGTAACACCGGCTTATACACTCATCTACCCACTAGTTTCGTTTTGATGGGAGACTCACCAGGAACCCAACTGAATCTTTCCTTTACGGTGGCCTTATTCAACTGGATTTCGCTACATCCGACCGCCTCATGTTTCAGTTGGCACGATATTTGAGATACTGCAAAACATTATATACATGTAGTACACTACTCGTAAGGTTGCTTAAAGCTTTTCGACAGTTCGTGTTGGTTCAGCAAGCTCAGTGAAGAACACCATAAACGCGAGATTCAGCTGGGTTCCAGGCGAGTCTCCGGTGAGAACTAAATTAGTACAGATGAATGTATAAGTCGAATTTCGTGCAATTTCGGTAGTATAACACAAGCTTAACAATAATTCGGGGACTTCGCCTACTTGATAAGCCCCGCGAAAGACCAGTCCGGCCGTAGGTACGTCGACGCTGTGCGAAAACCACCGTGGCATCATAGATACTCCCTGATTTTATCCTTTGAAGATTGATTGCACACGTGAGAGCCAAGCTCGGTTCCGTCCTGAAAGAGGATGCATAGGATGCATCGGTCACACTTTCTCCGATATTCCCATCCAGATTGAGATTGCCAGAGAAGTTTTCATGAATCTGCATCACCTGTGGCGTAGGCGTGGCATCAGCTTATCCACCAAGGATTGGGTTCACAGTGCTGCAGTGCGCTCTATACTACTATATGGATCAGAAACCTGACCGTTGCGTGCTGAGGACGTCACAGGATTTTCAGTGTTTGACCATCGATGTCTTCGGAGCATTGCTCGAGTCTGGTGGGAACGCCAGATCAGTAATGTTGAAGTACGTCGAATGGTTTTCGAAAGTGACAACTCGCCCTCAATAAATGAACTGATCACACTCCATGGTCTGCATTGGCTTGGTCACGCGCTCGGTATGACAGCTCGTCGACTTCCTAGAAGAGGCTTTTTGCATAAAACATGTGAAAAGTGGAAACGAGCCAGGAGAGGCCAAACGATGACTTGGCAGTGAAGTATGAAAGCCATTACCAGCAAATTCAGCTGCCCCGATCATTGTCGTCTCCCTGGATGGGGACCGCGAGAGGGGCCACATCAATACGGATATTGTCGGTGATGGTCCAGTCGCGCGCTCAGTGGCGCTCGCTTATTCGAGCGACTGCCTCCAGCGCATGGCTCCCATCCCGATCTTCCTAGTGAAAAATATATGGACATCACTGTTTTACGTATCACTTATATCGACTACCGCCTCCAATGCGTAACTATCTACCCCACCTCCCTACATCACCAGTGAACGAAACTGCGGCAGCTGAAACTACTGTACGAAAAGTGCGCGGTTAGTACGGCTGTGATGAGACTTCTTTCGGAAAAGTCGCACGAAAAGTTAAAGAGCATCACACCTAATGACATAAACTGTCTGAGTGATCCCATGTATTGTCCAAGTGCAAGTTGGTTACTGTACTGATCATCCAGCCGTAGATGAAAGATAAGCTGTTCTGGATAGTTGTTCCAAATGTCCAGGAGATCAGTGACATGCATCGTCAAATCAACGGACTCTTAAAAACCCAGATTTGGAACTTCGACAGTACTTCACAATAATTTTACTACCCATAAGATTCAACAAAACGCCACATATAGTCAACTAGGAGTGATTAAAGTGTGACGGATGAGTCCAGTGTACGAATCTATAAGGCTCTACTCATGTCTGCTTATTGGAGTCAGAGATAAATCCCTGAATCTCAAGGGACGCGCGCATCAGGCTTTAGTGCGGGCTGTTTTCTTGTATGGCTGTGCGACATCGTCCCTGAGCAAAACGGAATTGATACGTCTTCAGGTCTTCGACAACCGTTGACTCCGAACCATAGCTCGTGTAGGCTGGTGTCAGCGAACTGGCACCGAGGAAACTGAAAAACGATTGTGCAATCGAAGAATGTATCTAGCACCAGCGATGGCTATGTGATGTATTGAGCAGGCCTAATCATCATTTTTTGAAAAGTGCTTTTTCCGTGCCCAATACAGAGTTGCGCAGACAGAGACCTGACAGACAGGTTTGGGAAGGATTATGAAGTCTGAGTACTGTCGGTGAGACTCAACCTTCAGGATGGGGTCCGTCTGATCTCTCCTGTTCATGATTGGAGACTCTGCGGTAGATTGCTGGTAATCGATGTCAGCAGTGTTATCATCAGTTTTTACCAGAGTGTATAAATGAATGTCTGTAGATGTGGGCACCTCGGAATGATTGCTTCAGGTTAGCATCAAGTACCCTCTCTATCCACTTTTATTCTTTTTTTATAATAAGACTTGCAAATAAATTGCTGTGGTACGGCAGCAAAGAATCAGAGTTGAAGAGTAATGTTGTGCTGTCGACTACGATGATGACGAATGACTGAACTACCATTAATAGGTCTCAGCAGTAGGAAAGCACACCGACGGAGACAACCAAACTATCTGACAGGCACTCTGGGGCACAGAGGTTCACAAAAAATCGCGTATACCATGACGCCATTCAACGCGTGTTGGTGTAGCTTTCTGGGATCCGAACTGCACTGGGTTGATGATGTTTGTAGACTGAATGTGTCTAGCATGCACTGATGATACGACTGACAAACCCTCTATCATATGACCTTAACAGGACATTCCACGTCCTTCCAAAGTAGCACGAAACCGAAAACTTCAGTGCTTAAATTCGGCCCACATATACTCTATGGTGGGCTAGCCGAATCTTCATTCTTACCGTCATCTTATACTGCATGGCACTGGCGCCTGGTAGTCAAGCACAAAACCTGAATATTGGCTGTTGGGGCGGATTTCGAGCGATTGAGCCTTCGGCTAGATAAGCTTTGATAAGGAGTGACCTCACCAGGAATCGATCGACTAGTCGTACAGAAGTGGGTTAGCAATAAATGAACCGGCAAAAGCCATTTAAGACTTGCGGTTATGATCTCCTGGCTGGTGGTGATCCTGTGAAGTCAAATACGATAGCCACGATGACGGAAGAGACGTTATTTCCCAAAGGTTAGCAGGCTGAAGTGTAACAACTCAGCTCTACGCCGGATGTGGCTTTTAAGACTTCATTTTGTATGCACCTGTGGCGTGCCTCCAGATCATATGTGGACAAGTTGGATGACAAGCATTACTTCCGGCAACGATTCAACGGAACTCCCATTCAACAATTTGCCTTCACATGGTTCGAAATCCAATTCATGTCCCCCATTGCTACTCCTTTTCGAGGCCTGATTGCGCGTCTCTAAAACAGTGTTGACGCACTGCTGATATCAGGAGAGGTTGTTCCATCAATATGATGCGCAGGTTCTTGTTTGGAGAAGTGTTAGCTGTCTGGGAAAGATAGGCTTTCATCAGGCTCGGATAGAATTTACGAGGGATATGGACTACTCATGAACAAGTTTTAAATCATAGGGAGAGTAAACAAACAACGCAAACTACATAAAACTAACTTCGGCAAATGCGTGATCCCTCCATGGCCAGGACGCTTCGGTGCGGAGGAATGGTGGTTTACGGCTTTGGAAAAAGTACTGTGACTGAATGACTCGAACTTGGACGTTTCGAAACCAGGAGGTAGGGGCAAGTCGGCAATAGAAGGCTTTCTTGTAAAGTCAGTGGAATCGCTAATAAAAAAGAAAGATGTTATCGAATGAAACGGATTTACTTCTCATGATGGTGTGCGACTGGCTGTTGCTTTAAATCAGGTGCAACGGGAACAGTGTCAGAGGAAACAGCAGAACGCTCTGGGGCCTCCATCACAAAAGAATCCTCTAGAATGGTCCTGGGACTAGGAGTCGGCTGATCAGGTGACGCTTGCACGTCAGCTGACGCCGGTGGCTCGCCTGCGCTCACCGGTTCGGGTGGCAGGGCTATTTCATCTAAAGGAATGCCAACATCAGGGCAAGGTGTCGCCTCTGTTTGTTTCTGATCGGAGGTCGGGGGAAGCGGGACCTCGGTAAGAGGACATACCGTGCCCTCAACCGGCTGCGCTTCTACTGGCTCGGAAGACTTGGAGGCTCGAAGAATCTTTTCAGTGAAGTTGGGTTTTTTGGACAGCTCAGAGAGTAAGCTGGACCGGAATTTGAAAGCTTCAATATCTGTACATTTGGGAGAGCTGCGGCGCTTTTCATGCCTGCTTCTCCCTTCCCTACTACGACTTCTCGAGTGTTTTTTGTGCTTTTTCTTCCTGTAAAAAAGGGTTACATATAACCGAGGGAAGCGCTCACTTTTTGTGATCGTCTATCAAGTCCTCAGGAAACCATTCATCACCATGTTTGCGTTTTCGCTCCGAGTGTCTTACAAGGTCATGATCCAGGTCATAGTCCTTATGAGATCTGTGATGCTTTTTAGGTTTGTGCTGATGTTGATGAAACTGTTGCTGAGACTGCACTGTATCTGGTTCATCATAGGAAACGTATGTATCCACAGGGTAATGGTGGTGCCGAGTAGGCATGCTGTCGGTAAGAATCCCATTGATAATTCAACAAAAAAAGCGTAACGTACCGATCCTCATAAGCATCATGCCGATAGGATCTGGGCCTGAACGAAAGCATGACAATACAAAGGGTAGAAGAAAACCCACATTTGTTCTGCAGAAACTTCCGCAGTAATTCCGTAGGACCAGCCGGTCTGAAATGAAAGAAGTCCAAGGTGAATGAAGCCAAGCACGTCCTTATTGTTTTTAAGGAAATTATTTTGCTCCCCATCTGAGGCAGTCTCAAAGTATGGTTGTACGACGCAGCCGATTTAGTATAGAAAGTACTCAATTTTGTTTACCAACCGAAGGATGCTGTCACTGAGGCAAGTGAATGATTCTAGTTTACGTTCATGAGAAGCCATTTCTCAAGAGGAGTTATCTTTTTGTTGCCCCTGGCTTGCAAAGCACCATTTGATATTTATTGTTGTCAAATTCCAATCGAAAATGAGGCTGTAGGAGTCCGTTGGACCGATCGTCGTACTTATTCTTCAAGGGCCCCCACCATATTTGGCTTCGTGCAAACTGGCCGCAACTATGCGGCTGCGGCGTCAAGTGGGTGCTTGAGTCTCAACTGTCCATTAACAATAAACAGATGAGAGCCAGGCAGCTGACTGAACTGAGTATTCTGTCCGTTCGGATAATGTCCAGGCTTATATATTTTAGCCCTCATGGCTGGCCAGAGTGGGATCGCTTAACAAACCTGGTTACTTGCTTAAAATTAATTGAGCTGACTGGTATGTTTCCCGGACTTTGACTGCCACACCGTGGTACACATCATATATTATACTTTACACGGTTACAGACACTTTACCTATAAAGTTGCAGTGATCTGTTCCAATTAGATTCTAAGGGAAAATGAACTGGGACCGTGTGCAATAGGAATAAAACAATGAAACTTGTAGATTGGAGCAGCAACACGTTCAAACTGAGAAACCACCATTAGTTTGCGTTCTAAAATGTACAGTATAAACAGACACACACGAATACCTATTGATTGGAGCTGGAGATAGCTTGGTGGTTAAGGCGTGAACTTACTGATCAGGAGGTCCGTGGTGCCAACCCAAACCCAGCATCTCGACTGTTCCCATCTAGACTTAGATAAGCTGGCCGAATGCCAGCACTCCTCCCTCCGTTGAGTGGCATGGCAGCTAGGCACCGAAAGAGGGCTACCGCTGAATGATTATTACTTGATTTCAAGTACTAATGATGGCAGGTATGAATAAATCATCGTCAAACTGTGAAGTACTTTCGACGTACGACAATCATTTTCCTCACGATCACCAACACCAGCACTGAAAGTCAAAAATGGCTATGGTGAATAGTACCGCTTAAATGGAATAACGTGCACTGTTACTGCCATATATAACGTCAGAAAAGTACAATGTGGTGCACCTTCTCTGTGGCTGCATGAAATTCAAACCATGCGACAGTGTCGTATAATGTTCTCTCGGTGGGAACATGTGGGTGATAGAAAAATGGAAAGACGGTTTTCGAGAAATACACTCATTTGCAAATCAATTTGGTTTCCATGAGACTCAACTGAATATCTCGTTTACGATACTCCACAACTGAATGTGCTGCACACAGGCCGCTTCGTTATCCAGTTGGCACGATATTCGAGGTATCGCAGTGTATTTTTATAAAGGAAACTACTCACAAGGTTGCTGAAAACTCTTCGACAGCCCACGACCGGTTTCGCCCTTCTTGCGGATCATCAGGTAAGCGCAGTCCCCGAGTTTACGTCAACCCTATGTTCCACCCGAACTCAATCGCACACATTCATTTGCGCACAAATTCGGTCCTGACGGGAGACTCACCTGGAACCCGTCAGCATTGTGCACCTCACGGAACTCCATGAAGTCCCGAGCAACATGACAATATGGAGAGAAACTCGGCTCGGGAACTGCGCCTACCCGATGAGAGATTTAGTTGAGTCTCTCGTGAAAACCAAATTGGTTTGCAAATTAGTGTATTGTATTACTCGAAAACAGTCCAATTTGAGTTCAAGTGGAACATAAGGTTGACGGAAACTCGGGGACTGTGCCTACCTGATGAGCCGCAAGAAGGGCGAAACCGGTCCTAGGCTGTCGAAGAGTTTTCAGCAACCTTGTGAGTAGTTTCCTTTATGAAAGGACAGTTTGTCCGACGAGAAGGGTAGTAGCCCAAATATTAGGAAGCTGAACATCATAAGTTCTGTAGCCTGGTAGCTTAGGTAGGAAGGTGTAAAGACCTATCTGACAACGAGTGTCCTAGCACATTGGTGTGAAGAAGGACGAGAGTAAATGGCAGATGAAGATGAGATACGAATGTAGAAATGTATCCACAAACAAAAACAGCCGTTCAGCTGTAACACCCTTTCGATGCCTAGCTGTCATGCAACCCGAAGGAAGCACGACAGATGGGATACTGCCAGGTAGCCCAAGCATAGACAGGGGAAGTAGAGGCAGAGGTCGAGTTCGAACCACGGACCTTCGGGTCGGTGAATTCGTGCTCTAACCACTGAGCCATCTCGCCCGAAGGAAGATAGAGGGTTGTGTACTACCAGCCCGTCCAAGCCTAGACAGGAGCAGCTGAAAAGTCAGGATTAAGTTCAAACTACGGACCTTCGATCAGTTGCCTTGCACTTTAGGCGCTAGTTTATCTCAAGTCGCCGATAATGGGTGACATTGAAGGTGGTTAGATTTGACAAACTCAAGCCCGGGAAATGGAGGTTTTTGCAACGGTGGAAAAACGCACCCTGCTCAAAATAATCTGAGCAACTGGTCCTAGGAGAGTGGATGTCATTGAAACGACCTCCGAAAAATGGACTGCAATCCATTCACGGAAATGTCTTCTTGAATGATTGGTTCAACACTGGTAGACACTTCGTATGCCCCCCCTCTGGAAAGACGAACTGAATGCGCGTGGAACGTCGATACTAGTCCACGACCGACGATGAAAGTCCGGCGTACAATCTCATTGCTTCAACACAGCATATGCATGGAATGAGGAAACAATTCAACAGAATGGGACACCTCGAAAGTGATTTCAATATTCAGAAAGAGTGCAAGGACATCACGCGAAAACCGCCGAGTCACCGACCTAGTGGCTATAGCTTCCAAGTTATCTTCTGGCATTATCCTACCCTGATCCGGTATCGGTTATCTCAGGTTCGCCAGAACCAAGCCTTGTTTTGTCCTGACCGGGGTTGTATCGATCCTGTCTTCACTTTGCAACAAGTACTGGGACCGCACTACGCTTCTATCACCAACAATGATTGTCTACTCCATAGCAAATATGTTTTTGACTCAGCTGATCGTCAGAAACCGTGAGTGTTTCGCGATGAAAAGTGCCCCTACTAAATTCTTCTCATAAAGGCTTTATGTCTCTTCTTGAGGATGAGTGCATGTCTACAATAGAGTCCTTTCTGAGTTAACCACATCAGGTAAGAATGTCCTCTGTCGCCTTGTCTCTTCAACTTCGGAATCAATATGCTGTTTGAGTCTTCTTTACCTAACTGTAACACCTGGGGGATCGAAATACTCCCGAGGGGAGGGCGCTTAAAGGCACTGAACACGCCTTGGATGATCCTTCAAAATGCAAACTTTTTTGGGTAAGCCAATTATTCACGCGGCATAGGTTACGCTGGTTAAGACATTTACTTCGTACATCAGAGGACCGTCTGCCTCATAGACCCTTCTTTGCCCAGCTCTGAGCTGAGAGGAAGCGACCCATATTGCCAGCCCATGGCTCGACAACAAAGAACAAAAGCACTACTGAGTAAACCCAGTCGGGTCGACAACTATTGACTCCCCGGATGGGGACTTGGAGCTCGGGGGGAACTCATTGATTTGAAGGTGAATGGTGTGAACCCAACCTCTGTATCTCGACTGCTTCTATCTGTAACTGGGAGACCTGGTAGTATCTCAGCTCGATAGCTTTCTTTGGGTGGCAAAGCAGGTGGACAACGAAGGGGTCCATTTTTATTACCTATTTAGATGCCGACCAGGGGACTCAAATCATCAACGGTTGAGGATACCGACGCGGACATGACGTAACCACGCCCTCCTGCATCAAAGCTAAGGCCTTCAACGCGTGTGAGCTCACTCTATCATCCCACTCACTCAACTGCGCACTGACTAAATTTCGTCTGGGGACGAAATATTTTTAAGCCAATCGCCAATCTCGGTGAACAGACTAACGGCCATCTGATCGACCACCAGTAAACACACCGGAGCTGCCAATATTTCGACACATTGACTATATATTGTCCGCCATTTTATTTTTTCAGATGAGTTAAATTTAGCAACCGGAACCAACGAACCGTTGGTAGATCAACTCAAATGGACATGTGGAGGTGCGCAGTGGCGTACGGCTGTAGAGATAGCTCAGTGGTTAGAGCGCGAATTTACTGATCGGAAGGCCCGTAGTTCGTACCCGACCTCCACATATCGAATGCCCGTCCAGGCACCCGTCCGGGCACCCTGACAGTATCCCAGTCCTCGTGCTCCTTTCGGGTTGCATGACAGTTAGGCACCGAAAGGGTGCTATAGCTGAACGGTTTTTTAGTGCCAAGTGAAGCTGGGTGATGGCGAGGTTAGCAAAAATGTAAGCTCTAATACGAGAGTTGACTAATGAATGCTGTCAGTACTGGAGTAATTTTCACCCATTTTCACACCTGGTCAACCAAGAGACTGACGGTCGAGTCTAGCGGTTTTTTCTTAGTCGGAGGAACTGATGTCTTTGCAGGTTTATTACGAACAGAGAGGTCCTTGCTTGTCCAGAAGTCTCATTGGGGGTGCATCTCAGGTAATTTTGTCATATCTAGCAGTGATAAGCCTAATTGCTAGGTTTGCACTTGCGTTGAAGTAATTCACTACTCCTGCATTGACTCTCGGTCCAAGAATTGCTTGGCAGGATTAGTTCTGTTAACCAGTGTCATGAATATTCTTTGTGCTCATATTATCGTTTTGTATTAACCATGCTTTCGCCGTCATTTTCAGCTTATGTACGTCTATTCTTAGAAAATTAAAGCACTATTCATTCTTGTTACCGCGACTGGATAAAATGATCGAAGAAATTTCC